ATATATGGCGCGTTGTTAGGATTCATTTTCTCTTTAGCTGCTTTCTTGTTTTTATAGCTTGCTAAAATTCAATCAGAATTGATGGCTGATAATCCACAATATTCTGTATAACATTTTTCCACATTTAATGTGATTGGAAAAAATAAAACCAGAAAAGTTTTATCTTCGTCGTTGATGTGGTAGTCATTACTTTTAAATCTTTTATACCATTTCTTACAAAGCAGCAAATACAATATTTTCTCCATGTGTCCACAAATCAGTCTTTTTCGTTATGCAACGATTTCACCTCGATTAAAGTGATAAAGCATACACTGGCGAAGATGACTTTATCCGTTTCCAATAGCGTTAAATGTGAAATTATATTATTTGGAATTATAATTTATCAGCCGTCAATTTTGATCGAATATGATCAATATTTAAAAACAAGAAAGTAACTTAAAAGAAAATAATTACTAACAATAAGTGCAACGCGCCATATATTTGTAATCTTATGAACTTTGCAAACACTTAATAATTTAAAAAATGCGACTGTGATCGGTTTAAAAAAGACTTTATAGAGAGAATTTTTCCTCTTAGATTTATTCTGCAAATCATGATAATCATCGGGTAATATGGTATTGGAAGCATTTTATAAAAGTTTCTCTGATTAAATATTTACAACAAGTAAAATATTATATATATATATAATTTATTCATCTTTATATTTAAATACATGAATAATTAAATTATTAATTTAAACTGGAATGTATATACATTGTAAAGTTATTATATAGATAAACTTTATTGATTCCCCGTAGGTTACAATTTAAAAAACATACACAACATAAAACAAAAAAACGCTTATAATATCCTCTTAATCTAACTTAACCTACTTAACCTAAACGCTTCTAAGGGTTGAGCTTCTACTTCGGGTCGCCCTTATGACCTTCTCCCCTTAGCTTCCGCTCAACCCCCCAGTACACACACACCATCTCGCCGCGCGGGACTTCCGTTTCCTATTGCTTTCTACTCTTTACATTTCTTCTCCCTTCTTTATTCTCTCATTCCATTCCCCCTATTCTTTTCTCCTTCCCTCTCCCTCTCTTCCTCAATCCCTATCATCCATCCTTCTCCCTCTCCTCCCTCTCCTAAAATTTCTTTGACTACCTCCTGCCAGCTCCTCTCCCTTTCTCTACTTATTCTGCATCTTTCCCATGTATGCTCCCATGATTCCTCCTCTCCCCCACATAACCTGCATTTTCTCTTTTCCTCCTCCTCCTCCCAGTACCTACTTTTCTAACATCTCATTTCCCAAACCTAAACCTCGCCACCCTCCTCCACCTACTCTCCCCCCAACCTTTTTTCAAATATTCCGGAATTCCTGCTACTCTAATCTCCTTATACACCATTTATTATATTCCGACTTTTCCATTCTTTCTTCCCCTTCCTTTCCTCTGTTCCTCCCAATCCTTCCTCAACAATTCTCCGAACCATCCCTCTTCCTCCTCTCTCCTCTTTTCTACCTCTTCTATCTTCTTCCCTCTTTTCCTAAAGTATTCTTCTTCCCTTTCCTTTTCCCATTCTGAGCCCACCTTCCCTTCCCTTCGCCCTTTCTCTCATTTCTTCCAGCATTCTCTTGCCAGCTCACTTCCTCCTCTTCCTTTCTCCATTCTTTTCTCAAAGCTCCATGCTCTCTTCCCCTCTTGTTCTCAGCTTTTCTCTTTTCAGTTCCTCTCACCATGTATCCTGGCGTCCTCCTATCCACCCCTAGTGTCCATCTCAGGTACCTTTCCTCTAATCTTTCCATCCCCTCTCTCTCCTTCCACCCCCATATTTCCACCCCATAGCTCATCACTGTCCACACCAGTTTATCGAACAACCACATCCTTCTTCCCCAGTCCTTTCCGAATCTTCTTTTCCCTATCCCCCACACCTGTCCCCATAATCGACGCCGCTTTCCTCAACCTTTCCCTCACCTGTCCTTCTTGTCCTCCTCCGTTCCTTTGTAGTCTATACCCCAATACGTGAATTCCTCACTTCCTCTCTCTTCTCCTTCTCTCTCTCCTTTCCCTCCTCTCCACTCCCTTTTTTTCCACCTCCCTCCTTTTCTCCTAAATCTCATCACTTTCGATTTCTTCTTTCTTCGCATTTAGTTCCAACCTTTTTGATCTAAATATTCTTCCAGTCTCTCTAACATGCTCCTTAGTTCCTCCTCCTCCTCTACCAGCAACACCATATCGTCTGCGTATGCCAGTGTGTAAATTCTTCTCTCCCCTAATCTCATTCCTCCCCTTTTTCACCCTTCCCCATCTTTTCCTCTAGTCCGCTATCAAGATATTGAATAGCAGCGGACTCAGAGGACATCCCTGTCTTACCCCCTTTCTCTATCCAAAACTTCTCTCCTATTTCTTCTCTCCTATCTTTATTCTGCATACCGTTTCCCTCATCAACTTCCTCCACCCTTTTTCTCTCAATCCCTTCCTTATTCCGCTCTCCTCCATCGCCTCCATTATTTTTCTCCCTGTCCACCGAGTCAAACGCTGCCTTCAAATCTACGAATAATGCTGTCATCCTTCCCCCTTTCTTTTCTAGTTGTCTATTAATCAAATAGTTCATCACATAAATGTTGTCCATCGTCCCCATTCCTCTCCTAAATCCCATCTGGTTTTCTTTATAATCCTTTTCTCCTCCACCTCTTTCCTCAATCTTTCTGTTAATATCATTGTATATACCTTATACAGTGTCGGCATCAGCGTTATTCCCCTATAATCCTCAACCACCTTTCCCTCTCCTTTCTTCTTTATCGGGACTATCACCCCCTCCTTCCATCTCTCCGGCCATCCTTCCCCTTTCCATACTCTGTTACAGAAATCCAGTGCCCAATTTTCCATATTCCCTCCTCCATATTTCCATACCTCATTTGGAATCTCATCTATCCCCGATGCTTTTCCTTTCTTCAGCTTCTTTATCGCCTCTATCAATTCTGTCCTGCTTATCTCCTCTTCCTCCTCCTCTTCTCTCTATCTCCTCTGTCCTTTCTTTTCTCTCTTACTCTCCTCTCCTCCACTCCTCCTAGCAACTTCATGAAATAATCTCTCCACTCTCTCATCTCAATTTCCTCGTTAATTCCCTTCTCTCTCCCTCTCTCCTTGTTAACTATTTCCCATACTTCCGCCTCTTTTTTTGCCCCCGCTGCTCTCCTTTCCCATTTCTCGTTTTCTTCTTTTTTTCTTCCTCTCACATAACCTCCTGTATTCTCCTTTTTTCCTCCTGTATTCTTCTCCCTCTCCTCCTTCCCTTCTCCACCTCCTCAGCTCCTTTCTTACTTTCCTTTTTCTTTCTCCACACTCCTCATCCCACCATCCCCTTCTCTCCTTCTTCATCTTCCTCTCTTCCTCTTCTGTTACCTTCATTGCTTCCTTTACCCTCTCCTCCATTTTCTTCCACTCTCCCTCTATCTCTTCTTCTCCTCCTTCTAGTTCTCCTACCTTCTCCTTGAACCTCCTGCACCTTTCTTCATTCCACGTTCCTCCTCTTCTCCCTCCTCGATTCTTTCTCCTCTCCTTTCTCTGTTTCCCTTTTATCTCCACCTCCACTGGCTGATGATCTGAATCTACTTTATCTTTTACTCTTAACTTTTTTACCTTTTCTCTACTATCCTCGTCTCCCAATACGTAATCTATTACTGTGTTCCCTCTCCCTCCTGTAAATGTCCATTCTCCCTCCTCGTCTCCTTCTGTGTTCCCATTCAATATGCTCCATCCTTTTTCTCCCAAGAATTCTAACAGTTTTCTTCCCTCTGCGTTGATTACTCTGTCCTTTGACTTCCTTTTACTTTCCCCTAACCCCTCCTCCTCTACATTTTCTTCTCCTCTCACTCTTCCTCCTTCCTCTCCGGTTCTTGCATTAAAATCCCCTCCTATTATCGTGTATACCTCATTCTCTTTCTCCTCTGTCCACTGCTCCATTTCTTTACATGCCTTCTCTATTCCTTGCCCTGCATATATTCCTATCACCCTCCATCTTTCTCCCCCCACCTTTACTCTTCCTATCGCAAAGCCTTCCTTTTCCATTTCCATCTCCTCTCCTTTCTCTGCTATCTCCTTTCTCATCCCCATAATCATGCCCCCTATTGCTCTTCCCCTCTCATTCTTTCTGCTAGCTCCTTGTACTCCCCATATGTATCCTTTCGGCAACATTCTTCTGACCTTCTTCCAACTCTTCTCTTCCATCCATGTTTCTGTCAACACTATCACCTCCCATTCCTCTAATCCTTTCCAAAAGTCCTTATCCTTGTTCCCTACTCCCGTTACATTCCAGAATCCTATCTTCCATCCTTCTTCATCTGTCCCCTTCTTCCTTTCCTCCTTCTCTATCTCTTCAGGTCTTCTTTCCTCCTCTCCTCTTCCCCCGTTACTTCTTCCCTTATGTTTCCTCTCTCGTCCTTTAGTACCTCTTTTACCTCATCCCATCTCCACCATTTTTCTCCTATTTTTATCCTGCCGTTGTTTATCCATGTCCTCTCTCCTCTTCTCTCTTCTCTCCATGCTATTTCTCCCAACTTCCTTCTTACCTCCCTTTCTTTCCATGTTAGGTCCATACCTATCTTTTTTCTTTCTGCCTCTCAGTTTCTTTCTTCTTCTCCATCACCTCCCATTTCTGCTCTTCCTTCTCTAATTCTATTACCACCATCTCTCTGTCTTTCTCTCTATCTTCTCCTATCCTTCTTATTTTCACTATTTTCGCTTTCGCCCCAATCTCCTCCATTAACTTCTCTGCTCCCTCCCTTCTTTTCCCCTCCTTGACCTCCAGATTTCTTATCACTATGTTTTTCTTTTTTTCCTCCTTTTCTAGTAACTCCCATTTCCTTTCCATCTCCCCTACTCTTTTTTCATTTCGCCCCCCGTGATCTCTTCCTTTTCTCTCTCTTTCCCCCCCCCTTCATTTATTTTCCTCTCTAATCCTTCTATCCTCCTCTTCATACTTTCCATGTTCTTTCTCATTTCTTCCTTCTCTTCTTTCCATTTTTCAATCTGTTCCTTGTAATCTCTTCTTAACTCCTCCATCTCTTCTCTTATCTTCTCTCCCTGCTCCTTCATTTCTTCTCTCATCTCCCTCATCTCCTGCCACATCTCTTGCAGCATTTTTTAATTTCCCCTCTCTCTCCTTCCTCTCCACCCTCCTTCTCTGGAGATCTCGTTATTTTGTTACTTCTTTTAAATATCTCCGCTCCCTCTTCTCCATTTTTTCCTTCTAACTCTCTTTTTTTTCTCTTCAATAATTCTTCTATGTTTCCTAAGCTTCCACTTCTTTCCTTTCCCTTAATTCCTTCCTTCTTTCCGCTCATTCTGCTATCTACACTCTTATATTCTTTTCCTAACCACTTTCCTCTCTATATTCTCTTTTTCCCTTGTTTTCCTTCTATCTAATTATTTGCCCCTCTGTGTTTTCACTACTCCTTGTTTCTTACTTTCTTTATTCCCTAGAAGTTCCCTAGAGATTCCCTAGCGCTTACTCTCCTTTCTCTCCTTACTCTGTTTCCTCTCTATACTTTCTTCACTCCCTGCCTACTGTCAGCTGTCATCCAGCCACCTATTTCTCTCTTTCTTACCTCTTTCTTCTCTCTATTTTCTCCTCAACTATCCTCACACCCTTTCACTACTCCTCTGCTACCTTCCCACACTATCCTCTCCTTTCTCACCTGTACTCTATATTCTCTAACCCTCTTCAATTACTCACACTCACAATCCACGTGTACACGCGTTTGCACCGGAAACGGAAGTCCGTAAAGTTATTATATATTTTTATAAAATATTTAGATAAATAGATATATATAAAAAATAAATTATTTATCTCTAAATAATTATTTAATTCAAATATATTTAAACGTATATTCAAAAAAGGTAATATAAGGCACAAAGAATTAAATTTAGGAAATTAAAAAAATTTAAAGTTAAATAAAAATTTTTAATTTAAATTAAAAAATAAAAGTAAAAATAAAAGTAAAAAAAATGTAATGTACAAAAAATACTTAGCGCTGTTTTTGTATTGTTATTTTAACACATTAGTAAATAAAATAAAATATAAATCAAAGTATAGACTAATTTTTTTACTGCAATACGCTTCAATAGAAATCTATAAACATATTACGTGGTTCGATATTCGAATGACATGTGGCTAGCTGAACATATCGATATACATGTATGAAATATATGTATATAATGTAACATGCAATAATTGTCATATTAAACAGATTCAACGATTGGGCAATGTGAATGGGCTAAGTGAAAATTATAAAAATGAATTTACTATACATTAATATATGCTAAAGACGTATACATATACATATATATGTTATTAATATATGTATACCAGGGTTGGGAAGTAACGAGTTAGTTGTAACGAAGTGTTATAGTTCGAATGACTATAACTATATTATATTATATTATGTTAACATAGTTTTAATAATAAATTAGTAAGTCAGCTATTATATAATCATTTGAGAAACGTTCTCACGCTCTCGCGAAGCGCTTATCGCGAAAAGACGCAAACGCGATGAAATATAAGCGTTACGCCGAAACCCGCGGATCGCAAGCGAAGAATCAACCTGCTTCGCTTGCACCTAGATAAAAGCGTGTGAATAAAAATTAGCCAATGAAAGAGCTTCTCTACATCTTCCCCCGAAAGATGTAGAAAAGAGCAGGAGACCACCGCGAACGGAAAGCGAGGCGACGAAGTCAGTCGCTAACGAAAATCCAAAAAGTCAAGTCGCTAATTAGAACCTAACTAGGAGTCGAAGACAAGCCGCAGAATATAACTATCGCCTGTAATCTGATTATCGAGAGCGAGCACACCTAACTAATCACCCAGGTGGGATTATACATAATTAATCCAACTCAAGAAATAAGCGAAATAAAAGATTTATTCAAATACACAAGCGAAGTTAATCAAAGTGGAGACGCCCGCCGATCCTAGGATCCTCATCCTTCAGTCGACTGAGACCCCAAAATTTTCCGTGCCTTCCCGGAGGCACAACAATTTGGTGGCAGCGGTGGGATCTCAGCCGCAGGGCCGACGTCGTCTCCAAAATTTTCACAGCGGCGAAGACCTGTAAAAACACATACAATTATAACAAGTGTTAGACGGGCACGTCAGTAACTCTGACGGAAATAAGCAGAAGCCACGACGAGGAGAGAACGAGAGAGCGGACAACATAAACAGTGCAACGAGTGATAAGCAGCAGAGAATCGAAAAGGATCGCCGACGTCCAAGGACAACGCCGACCTACGACAACCTCACGGGCAGCGCATCAACACGAGCGACGACCCGCCGTATCTATCACCAACACGGAGCCGCCGTTATCAGCCCACGAGCGATCGAGTTGCAGCAGCAGCAGCCGACCCGTATAGAGCGTAACGATGCGAGCCGTTATACTGTAAGTCCGAATTTATTTGATTGCGTGAATGTCGGAAGGTGACGAAACACCCCGACAAGCGATTAAAAACCAATCGTGGTTGCATAGTACACCTGTACGGTTAACGACGCGAGTATTGCCTTTAACTGCGCAAAATCTCGAAAGCGTTCGTAGAAATTTAGACAGCGACTTGACAAACAAAAATAATACCGAGTTACCTCCGAACGTAATAAACGAACGAGAATTTCCATTTACTAATTTTGACGCGAGTATATTCGCAAAAAATCCAAGCGACTCCGTTCAAGTAACTCAAAACGAACCGCGTCGATTGCGACCGTATATCAGCCGAACTCCGAGTAGAGTATCTTCGCGAAGAGAATTTTCATTAACGTCATACGACAGCGAAATATTCGATCCCGAAGAAATTTATAGCGAAATAAATATGGCAGAAAATACAAACGCGAACGCAACTATTCCGCCAACCGCGATAGATGCCGAAATAAGCATACTCCGACAAACCCTTGCACAAATGGGACAGAATTTAGACGTCACGTCACAACAACCCTCCGTCGTAGCGCCCGGAGAAACTTCACAAATGCTTAATATAATACAAGCTATACATGCAGAGCTACATACACTAAACACACGTATGAATAGGATAGAAGCCGCACAGGCATACACACACACAGACGAACAGCGGGAGTCCGATTACGAGCCTCGTATGACTTACGGACGGACTGAGCGCGACGTACGAAATCGACGGAGTACTGCACGACAATATATGTCTCTAAAAGAAGCGCGAATGATGATACCCGAATTCGACGGTACATCGCGACACCGCCTTCAGGAATTTCTAAACGCATGCACATATACAATGCAAAACATACATCCCGGAGACGAAGAGTCTCTGATACAGGGCATACTATTTACTAAATTAAAAGGTAAAGCCATGCAAGTCTTCAAAACGCGAGACATACAAACGTTTAAAGAATTAAAGCAACAACTAGAGACCGCATACCAATGCAAGCAAAGTACTGCCCACTTGCAATTAGAATTTAATTCGCTAAAGCAGAAATATAATGAGACAGCACAAAATTTCGGGCAACGCGTCGACCAGCTCGCTATGAATTTATACGATTCAATGATAGAGGGAGAAAACCAAACGAGCTCAGAGAAACGCACTATCTTACAAACGATCCAAACCCAAGCATTATTAAATTTTTAATTAGGGCTACGAAGCGACTTAAAGGTACTCGTACGCTCACAACGATATACGACGCTTCAAGAAGCGATAGCCGGCGCGAGCGCGGAAGAGAGATTTATCGGACCTAGCACGTCACGGGCAACTAATTCCTCGCTAAATAAGCCTGAATCAACGCGGTCAGGACAGCGAACGACGGGACAATGTTATAGATGTGGAAAACCCGGACATTACGGACGAGACTGTCGTAGCACAATCAACGTTCTGCCGAAACCGGAAAAATCCTCGCGCGTATCCGCCATCGAAAAATTTTGCAACCATTGCAAAAAACGTGGACATAACCGCGAAGAATGTTGGGAATTAAACGGACGACCGAAAAATAATACGCCCCCACGGAACAAGCCAGAGGATCGAAAAAAACCGCGAAGTATTAATAAAATAGATAATCAAAGAATCCGGCAGGAGAGAAATTCCGAGTCCGAACGTAGCAGCGATGAAGACGGAGAGCGCGGAGATAAGATTAAGAAGACTCGCGCGCTCGAATATCAGGTGACACACGTGCGCCGAACGCCGAGAGAAAGAGCGAGTTTAAATATAATTACTCTGCCTATGCGAGAAGCAAAACGCGGAAGAGTAAATATGCTTTACGATTCGGGAGCTACGATTTCATTGATAAAAGTGAAACACTTGAAGGGCGAGACCGAAATTTACAATAATAAAATAACCCTCGTTGGAATAACCGGTCATAAAGCAAAGACGATCGGAAAAATATACGCGACAATTGAGCTAAACGGAAACAAGATAAAACACGCGATTTACGTCGTGAAAGATGATTTCCCAATGGAATATGACGGGATCATAGGAATCGACTTCCTCCAGAAGCAGCAAGTCACGTGCGATTACAAAAAACGCGAATTACAAATCGGAAACGCCGTCCTAAAATTGCAACCGTACAACAAAATTATCTTAAAACCGCGTAGTGAAACAATTATACACGCAATAACAAATAATAATAAAACAGGGATCATTCGAGCCAAAGAAACCGCCCCAGGAATCTATATCGGACGATGTTTGGTAGAACCGAAGAATTACCAATGTCCCATCAGTGTAATTAATACAACTGATAAGCCGGTCGAGATACACACACCCCTCGTAACCGTAGAAGACGCTTGCGAAGATAACGCGCACGAATTGTACACGATACATATAGACGAGACTCCGAATCAATTAACGCGTGACGAACGAATTTGACAATTGTTACACACAAAGCATTTAAACGAGGAAGAAAGAAAGCGATACAGAAAATATGCGAAGAATATAGCGACGTGTTTTATTTAAGCGGAGAACCACTGTCATGCACAGCAACGCTAAAACACGAGATAAGCACGCGCGCCGATACCTCACCCGTCAATGTGAGACCGTATCGCCTTCCCGAAAAACACAAATCAGAAGTGAACAAACAAGTACAAGAAATGCTAAAAGACGGAATTATTAGTACAAGCATTAGCCAGTGGAAT